CATCTGAGATCTGAAAACAGTAAAAATATAAATATATATATATGTAGGCAGTTTTTCTTTAAAAAAATTACATGTTTGAAAAAAGTCTCCACAAGGTGAAGGAAATGAATACTTGGGCATAGGCTTTGTTCTCCTGTCAGACATTTCCCAGAATGTCAGACATTTCCCAGCAACAAAGGCTTCATAACCTACAGCATTTTCATTTTTTCTGTTATTATAGACCAAAATAATAATCAAAAGAAACATTGTATCTGAGAAGCACATAAATTTGTCAATATCCCAGGATGTAGAATATACTCCTCCTGCTGCAATTATTGATGCAATAAATAAATTAGATGAAAAAATAATAAGTGATGCCATCACTGAATTCCCAATAACGCTAAGAAGAGAAAACTCCAGTGGTAAATCTTCATCTATTTCATTCATAAAAACACCTGAAGTTTGAGAGTGATGATTTCAGCTTTACAGGATCATGTTCTTGTTAGTAACTCCATTACTCTCTTAATTACACCTTGCTGTGACTGATGTAGAGTTTGGGATGTCTAACAGAGTCACGGAACAGTTAGGCTGGAAGGGACCTCTGGAAATCAGGTAGTCATACTACCTGTTCTAATCAAGGCTAATGTCAAAGTAATACTGAGCTGCTCAGGACCTTGTCCAGTTGAGTTCTGTCTACGTCCTACACAGCTCCAGTTCAGCAGAGAGCAATCCTCTGAAAGCCAGAAAATACAAAGAGAAGGCATCACCAGTGCCTTTGTAAAATTGCTTTGCTGATGCTGCCAAAAGTCACCAAGAGTTTTCCAGGCTCCAGGCAGAATTCCTGCACTACCTTTAGAGGGTGGGAGGTTTCATTACAGCAAGCTAGCAGAGCTGTGAAATCAGTGTGGGCCAACAATATGCCAGGGGAAAGGCTGACTGCATATGATATGACGAAGAGGTGCAAAAGTACTGGCAAAAGATTGTGATGAATAATTTATTCCAGCTCAGAATCCTTTTGCTATAGGGAACCGTCTGCAAATAAATGGTATATATAAGGGTGGGTTGAGCGTTTGCTGATGGGATCAATGAAAGCAGAGCATTTAACAGCACTAATAAGTTATACAAATTGTCCATGTGGTGTTGCTACAGAGCAGTCTCAGAATTTGAATGGTTGGTGGGGTGGTTTTTGAGAACTTGCCCAAACACAAGTAGTGCCAATGCAGAGAGGACTTGTGGATCTCCTACATGCATTTTATTCTTGGGCAACCTGCTCTCTCTGCAGATCTTCCTCCACAGTGTCCCAGCAGGAGGCACCTACTTGCAACCCGACTGTAGTAAGGTCAGACTTCCAGTTAGGTTCAAGTCCATCTGCTGGACTTCACGGATTCATTGATTTATCTTGAGATCCCCTCAGATTCTGGTTCACATGAGGGCATAAAAGGAGATGTTCAGCTCCATGGAAAAGGCAATTTACTCCTCTCTTCTCTCCTTCCACCTGCTTCCCAGTTCATATGCACAGGGAGAGAGAAGAGGTCACAGACTGTGACTTCTGCAAGCACAGTGCTCACTGAAATCCAGCTCACCTGTATATGGGAGCAGAGAGAGAAGGATAGAAATGCCCTCATTGTCCCAAAATATGCCTGCTGCCTTTCTTCCAACTGTCCTTACTTTCCAGGGTACCATTCTGAAGCACCATTCTCCCTTCCAGTTTCCACTGGAGTTCTTATGGTTCTTTTCCACAACTCATCCAACCTCCTCTTTTCCACTCACTCGTCATGGGAATCATTAAGCACTTCATTTATTTTCTTATTTTTACTCTAAATATTGTCTGAAAGGCTATATGATATTAAAATCATGGTTTATATATAAACGTATTTTAAATATTATTTTCAATTAAATAACAGCCAATCCCTTCAAATTTGAATCCTCGGGAAGACTTGTAACCACACGCCTATAGTTATTTTTCTGATTTTCAGCAAAGGCAGAGTCCTAATTCACAATAGCTAGGTGTAACTCAGATTCTGAGCTACTAGCATCTTTGGAAACAGGTAGGGGAAACCATTTTGGAAAAGTATTTCTGCACACAAAACTTTCATTTCCTTGGTGAGTAAAATCCTACACTGAACAGCGCATTAAATTCAGCCTCCCAAATGAGAGGTAGAGTCTAGTCCTAAGTAGAAAAAATGACAAGAAACTGGAATTAGCCAAGGAACTACCAAAACAATAACAAAAAAAAAAAAAAAAAAAACAAAACAGAATCTGTGTGCTTCAAGAAATGCCATGGGGTCTGCCCACACCCTTATCCCGGGAGACTGTATCTCAGAAATCTCTTGCTCAAGTGATCCCAAGTTCTCATTACTCCATCATTTTGTATAGCACCCTAAGGATTTCACAGTAATCCAAAGCATCACAAAGACTTCAGAGCCCTTATGCTGCAGCTAAGCGGACCTGCAGCATACCCCAGGGTTCTGGTCCCTCTATCACCTGGGGACCCGCCAGGCACTCCGCAGCGCCCATCTGCCACTCACAGATGGGCTTCCTCGCAAAGGAAACAAAAGCGGGAGGGAGGGGGCTGCCACGCATCCTAGTTGTGCCCTGATATGCCCCAGACAGACTGCGACCAGGGCATATACCTCTCCTCAGGCGCTCAGATGTATTCCCAAGTCCCGTACTCTAGAAACAGTCTTAGAAAACCTGCTTTTTAAACTCCCAGGCCTTCCTAACTCTGTGGCAGAGTTGGTGCTCTGCTTTGCTCTAATACACATTAAGCCTTCAGCTGAAGAGTGGAAATACAGCAGCATGCTTAATTACTTATTTTTAAACGTGCGACAGATATGCAACAATTTCAATGTCTAGACTATAATTTACATAAATACATTTTAAACCAAAACATTTTAAAATTATTTATTTCCTGCTTGTATGCTTAAGTGCTTTGCTGGATTGGGGCCAGACTGCAGGATCGAACCAAAGGTGCATAAATCAAACCTTCAAAGAAATACAATGTTCACAAAGACCGTGTATGGTTGAGCAAATTTAGAAGAATGAAACCAACTATGAAGAGAAATTAGATTGGCTGAAAATTAATAAAGCACAGCTGGAATTATTCGATTTATCCATATTTGTTGCTTAAATGGCTCTAGGGCTAAGTCTTGCTGAAAGAAGATACTTCAAGACTCAGGGGTCAATTGCTTTTGGAGACAAATTGACCTACAGAAATACACTTGTCTAATTTGGTTCTTGCAGTGGGGCAAGTCTACAGAAATATATAACCAAAAAACCAATTTAGATTCCAGTGAGCAGATATCAGAGGTCAAGTTTAAGGTTCCCATAAATTTACATAGATACACTAAAAGATTAATAACTTTTCAAGCTACTGGGTTTATTTGCTAAAAGCAAAGACTTATAGATAAAATCTGAGAAAGAAACAACATATGTGCTTATTCCACATTCTGTTGGATAGATACCATGCAGCCAGCTCATTGCTTGTTGCTGTGGCTAGCCCTGCAATATTTCATACAGTTTGGCCACACTCAGGAAGTGCAAGTAACACTATTGCTGGCTCAGCTCCTAGAATAACGCATGTTCAGATCTCACGATCGTTAATTTTGAAACTAATTTTATGTGTCAGTTCAAATATTACACTTTTAGTTAACTGGTCCTACTACTGTTAGTTATACCCCGAGATCTGTATCCAGCCATATAGTTATTATATAAGTTTGCAGTGAGGCCTTCTGCATACGGTTCTCCATTCTAAATATAATGCTTTTCTCCTAGACAGATTTTATATATTTATACATCGGTATTGTTTCCTATTCAAAATTAGGAACGTACAGTATAAAATAGCACCAAAATGAACCAGTAGCCAAATATAAAAATACACTTCAAAATAGAAAATTGTTTTAGATCTATACAAGCCCTGAAGCTGGCATTAACCTTCCAAGAAACCTACAAAACTTAAGTCCAGAATTTACTTGGGCACATAATGAAAATTTCACTTTCAGTCAATACTAATCTTGAAAGATACGGTATTTTTTTATCATCAGGCTGCAGTCTTTTAAAATCAGTCAAAGCAAAAATAATAATTCCAGTTAGGTAATTTACCAGGAGTGAAAATGAAAAAATAAATTCACACATTTCACTGTAAATTATCAGAAAGCTGACCACTGTATCACTGATAAATGCATAGGAAATACATAATGTTGTACATAGAAAAATACTTTCAGTAGCTCCAAAAGTTATTTTAATTTTTTTTCCTCCTTTCACTATTACCAGGATCGATAGGTATTTATAAATAAATGATTTGTCAACAGATATATAAGTCCTGACTGGCATTACCTTCAAAAAATTTACAAGGCAGTTAAAGCTACACCCTTTTCTTTAGAGTTGGTTTCAAACACATTAGTGGTCAGAAGAAAAGAATATACAACTACGTCAATCTTTTTAGTCCTCTTTTCTTAGAGCCACACAAGTTTGTGATGTTTTCCTTCTCAAGTCATGGAACTAATCGTATTTCATAAAAGCATATTAAAAAAAATGTTACATGGGAGATGCACTGTCTTGCAACTTTCAAACCGGAAAGGCCTAAAAGTGGAAAAATCACATGATCCAAGCACAAGGAAGACAATAATTTTACTGCAGGACTCCACGTGGGTTTTGGTTAGTTTTTGGTTTTGGTTTTTTTTTTTTTTTACAGTAATTCATTCTTTATTTCTTAAGTGATTAAGAAACTATCTTCTCATAGCCATTATGTAAAGAGATCCTAGAAATTTGGGTAAATTTCTGTCTAAAATAAACAACTTCTTTTTAAAAGAAAGATATTAAAATCTCTAGATAAGTAACTTTGAAACAAGTTCACCCCACTGAAGCTCTAGATGTATTCAAAGTAGCAAGATTATGTTATTTGCCCAACGTCACATAATTTTTATGATGCAGCATGTTTAGACCCCACATATCAGTATTATTTGTACACCCAAAGGCTTCTGGTTATCTCAGCTCTACAAATGAAGCGTTGGTAAGTTTACCTGTATAGTCCTCTGAGTGCCATCAACGGTGACAGACAATAAGGGTGAAGCCAGGTTCCACTCGCTGGTCACGTTTAGTTTCATCCCATCAACTTCCACCTGTTGTGACACCAAACAAGGCTGTTACTATGAAGACAGACAGAAAACTGATCTCAAGTTCATTACTGCATACAAAGCAGCAACCATTTTAAAACAGATGGCTCCCAAACAACCTGTCATGTTTACTGCTTCTGCCATAAAAGACAGGGTCCAACAACAGAGTCTTCCAGCTATCTCTGGGGAGAGGTGAAGGACCTGTGAACAGCTGCCTCTGAGTAGCAAGGTTTCAAGTGATTTCCAGCAAGTAACAAACAGCCATCCAACTTTTAAACCTATCTGGACATGCTACATTTACTGCAATTAGACAAGTAATGCATATAAATTCCAGTGACACCTTGCAACCCACACAACAGGGCTTGCATATAATATTCTCTCCAAGGACCAAGGAAGAACTTTTCCTATGCTTCTAATGAAGGGTTTTGCATTGTTATCTTAATTAATATGAGGCAGTAATTAATTCTTTGGTGTTTTGCCTCAAAGTCTAGAAAAACTTTGCAAATTCTGTCATGTTTTCTGCCAATATACAGCCAACCAGAGGAATAAAATTTCTGCCTTGAATGCCAATGTTTATCCAGAAATATTTCTTTTTAAATCATCCCATAATCTTTACACAGAAATGCTTCTAGATGAAGAGCAAAAATTCTGAGTTCTGAAGAAAGTGTAGATCAGAGTAGCTGTAATGACACTTCTGTCATTCTTCTGTTGCGTAATAAGGTTTAAAAATACACATCGTGCATTCAAAACTAAGAGCCTCAGAGGAAGAGCTGGATTATGAAAAAAAAGTAAATTACTACACATGCACTAATATAATTAATGATTAACATTTGTGGCATGTTTTGAACACTCACATTGCTATCCAAGGTAGGTGATTATGATTTCAGTTATGTATTTTACTATAAACAGAAGAAAAATCATAGTTGGCTAATTTCCTTCCTCTCAGAATCTCCAAAATATTTTCAATCAGACAATATTGATAATGACACAAATACTGCAACATTCTCAGTAAACTAGAGGAAAATTACTGCATTTAGAATAAAAGCTGAGCCCACATTTTGCACAATAAAACATTACAAAGCCTACTCTTTTAGATCTCAGACTAATCATTATTTCATCTTATAATAAGAACAGGCAACTGTAATCTTAGTGTAACTTAAAAGAAATCCAAAACAGAGAAGTGCAGAGGAGCAATGTGTAATTTGATAATTTTATTTCAGTTAAGAAAAAGCTCTGGTTTAAAAAAACCCCTCTAATTTATAGACTTCAGTTTAGAACACAAAACCTGTCTTTTAGTGATACAATCTACTCAATTTCTATGGACTTTAACTATAAATAAAGTCACGTGTAAAGAACATGAAGAAAAACAAGTCATTTATAATGGTTCACCAATAGGCCAGATTAGCTGGCATGCTTCAGGTACTTTACACTGCTCCAGTGATGCAAACCAGCCATAAACCTGGCTTAAGTTAAACCAGACCTGCAGCTGGTTTGCATTGCCAGAGTACTGCAAAGCAGCTGGAACACACCGGTGAACCTGGCCTGCTCTCAGCAAACCTGAATCAGCAAATACTGTCTTTACTGAGAACAGCAGAAACATCTGAAAAAGACTTTCCAAATGGAGAAAAGCAAATCCAGTGCTCTGTCTCATCTCTCTCTGATTACCAATTGAACTTTGGTAGGGCAATTATTTAAAAAGCTAACTATCACTATTGCTATAACCAAAGAAAGACTGACTGCACTGGAGTCTGAAAACATCATTTACCATGTTTCTCCAGAGAAGGAGGGGTGATGGTATGAAAACATAACCAGGGCATTGGCCACCAAGAAAACTTCAACTGTGCACTGTACTTGTTGCACTACAGGATTTACACATGGCTTCACAGAAAATCTGTATCTGATATTTATAGTCCTAGTAACGAGTGTTCCAGTGGCAAGATCCAAGTCGATACCTCCACAACAAACTCAATTTTATCACTTGCTCTTTTGTCACCGTACAGATGAACAAAAGAAAAGTAAACCAAGTGTGTCACAAAGGTAAATGACGTGTTTAAAATCCCTCACAAGGATCTGTACAAGTCTAGCCATCATTGATTCCAGATTACATTAGTATCAAAAATTTCTGGTGGAAACCACCCTGAGAGAAGAGATGCAAGCAGTCAGATGGCAGGACTAAATAAACCGTGGCACTCTAGGAACACTACAGCTGCTTACGTGCAATTGAAAAAATAGCAGACAATATATTGCCTCCACTATGTTTTCCCCATTTAAGAAAGAAGAAAGAGCCAGGATGAGGGGGAAGTGTTATTTGAACTAATGAATACCCCATTAAACTGCAGCATGCTTCTCACAGAATGACGCTACAGACTCTTACATGTTTTCACCGGGGGCTCAACCACAGTATGTGCAACTGGGGAAGATGATGTAAAGCCAAGAGGATCACAAGGAAGTTGGCTATCTCTTCTCCAGTAGGTAGGATGACAAACCCAGGAGGTCAGGCCATCAGAGAAAATGAACAAGGACTGAAGGTAAGAGATTTACTATGTACTGACCATGCTACTTTCACTACAAACCAGGGGAAAGCAGAAAAACAAAAATCAGATGGGGGTTGAAACCAAACCTGTGCTTTACCTAATAAAGCAAATCTTCCTTCTGCCACTTGGCAGCCAACAGCCTAGCAAGGTTACCTGATGGAGGTAGGGAAATAGATAAGATGTTTGAAGAACTTTTCAGAAGTTTGCATTTGCCTTAATTCCTCCTCTAGCAATGGATATGATAATAGAACCTAACAAACACTGCAATAAAACCAGCGTCTTTTTGCTTTAGTCTTGGAGGGTGAAGGGGGAGATGAGGATGACTAATGAAGAGTTACATTGACTATTTCCTGGTTTATTTTGTTTCTGTGCTCATAAGACAGCCAGGAACGAATCAACACTCAATGGACACTAACACTGGAACTGCAGGGAGAAGATCCCAGTTAAATCACTCACACAGTGGGCCACATTGTGCTTTACACCACAGCTATACAGTCTAGCTTTATCCTCAATTACTCAGGTTCCAAGCGTATACATGCATATGCACATCATGTTGTGCTGCATGGGGAAATTACTCTATAGCAACTATGGTTCTTTGAACCATTGCTACACTACATCAATGGCATGGTGGTGGTGGAATTTTTTTCTAACAGCATTGTTTGTCCCTATGGCATAAAATATAAAAGCAGCCATGGTCCCCCTTTACAATTATTTCCAATTCAAAAGCTATTGTAAATGAGGTCCCAAAGAAGAATGACAAGTCCAAGATACGATGCTAGAAAAAGGTCAGCAGCTTACTCTACTGTCACAGCTTTGCAGACTTTCACTGGCACGCACCTGAACTACACAAGTAGCAGCCCCTTCACCTCTTGTAGACTGAGTTCCTGATGTTCAGCATGATAGGTACCAGCTAACCAATAGTGCAAAGAGCTGCAAAGCATAATCTGCATTCAGTTTCCTTTAGAGAACATCATTTGGCATTCTATATGCATGTCAGGCAATTAAAGCCTGAGTGTTATAGCCCTGTTAATTTACTAATGCAGAGTCTCGCACACATCTGGCATATGACACTTCTTTTTTCCTGGAAAAGAAGGTGGTTTTCCAGGAGACTGGAGGGCAGCTCAAGCATTTCTTTCCTGTCTGATGCTTCAAAACATTATGCCTGAAGTTCCTCATGCCAGCCTTAAGTCTGACTAACTTAAGTCTGCTGACTTAATCCCATGGTTCAAATTTTGCCTCCCAGCATGGTATTTAACTCAACTTTAACTTGATGCTTTTGGTTTAATTCCTAGCCTAGAGAGTCCTGGCCCTAACTACTGGGTTATGCCACCCCTACCCTTATTCCTTATACCCCTTAATTCTACCTCTTGCTATAGGAGAAGTGATGGCATTCCTTAGAAAGTCAGATCAAGCAAATGAAAAATCATCCTCTGTAGACCTGCCTTGCTGAAATCTTTCTCTGATCAAGACAGCTGCCCATGAAGATGTTACCTTTCAGGAAAACAGACATTACTATTCACAGGAGATTTATGAATATTCAGTGTCATAGACTCCAATCCATCTAACTGGCATTAATTTAGCTGTAAATCTAAGACACATCCAGTGGGCAGCAAGGACACTACAAACTGAAACCTTAAAATCATCCTGCAAGGAAGGAACAACGGTAGCAAGCATTGCTGTTGTAAATTTGAGGTAGCATACATGTTTGAGGACTTTACTCAAGCCTACCTAAAGATGTCCTCTTCTCTGGGGAAAATAACTGTCTCAGGCAAAAGTCTCTTCACCTGCATTACTGTTGTCATGGTTTGAGCCCAGAGGGCAACTGATCAGTTCACTCACCCTGTCCCCCTCCAGAATGAGAAGGATAAAATACAACAAAAGGTTCAGGAACAGAGATAAGGAAAGGGAAGGGTGACTCATTCATTATGGTCACAGGCAAAAAGACAGACTCCTTAGGGAAAGAAAAAGAACATCAATTTAATTCAAACACAAATACCACCACCACTTAACAAACAGAGTAGGACAGTGAGAAGCATTACCACATCTTAAAAACACCTTCCTCCACTCCCTGCTGCTTCTCCTGCTCAGTTTTGCTCCTGATTTCTCTACCTCCTCCCTCCCAGTGGCACAGAGGGCAGGGAATGGGACTATGGTCAGTCTGCTGCTCCTTCCTCCTCAGGGGGAGGACTCCTCACGTTCTTCCCCTGCTCCAGCATTGGGTCCCCTCAAGAGAGACAGCCCTCCACAAATTTTTTCCAACACGAGTCCTTCCCACATGATGCAACTCTTCCCAAGATGCTCCACTGTGAGTCCCTCCCGCGTGTTGCAGTCCTCCCAGTGCCAAACTACAGCAGCACAGGCTTCCCTCAGAGTTTCAGCCTTCTTTGGGTGCAGCCATCTGCTCCAGCATGGGCATCTCCACAGGCTACAGGTGGGCATCTGCTCCACCATGGTCCTCCACAGGCTGCGAGG